ATTGATCTATAATTAGCTAACAACTTTCTCTTGAGCCAGCTATGACAGTGATTACTAATTTTTTTTGCAGTGCACTTATAGACCTGGTTGCTAAAATATATGGAGTTCCTCATCTTTTTACTGCTGTCTTGGAGTACGTAACTATTTTAGTGGATCTAGGCCCACAGCTGAAAATAATTATCTAACTATATTACTAATAACACAGTAGCTATTGAAAGTAAATTCAGAAATAGCTCATTTACTTTTTTTTCCCATTAGCATTTATTCACTGTTTATATTATGCAAAGTTTGGACTGTGGAATATGACATTCAGAGCTTTCTTGATAATTATTTTCACATTCTGGTTCCCCAGGACTACTATAATCTGGCTACAAATATGTCTTTGAGGGGCAAACAAATGACTGTTTTCACTGTGCTTTTGACTTTTCTCTGAATTACATGTTGCTCGTGATTTTTTTATAGGCTTAGTTTGGATCTTTGATCCCAAATGTTGCCTTGTAATCTGGTACTCTGTCTTCTGGAGACACTGGTTTTAATACAGGCAAGTAAGTTTGTGAAGCCTCTCTACCCTCTGAAAAAAGCTTTAGCATTCTTATACACAGACTTTGGCTTTCACACTAGTATTTTTCTATGGGGTTGGCTGCACTTGCCAAGGGTGTTGTCCTGAGGGACACAGCTCTTGAAAGTGCATCACCATGCTGATGAGAAATCAGCTTATTTTCAAACAGCCTCTGTCTTCCAGAAAAGGAAAAAGCCTGATTTCCTGCTTCTAATCCTTTTTCACCCTTTCCTTAAAATAAATTAGATATTTCTGTGCTGCAGGGTCTGCCAGCAAGGACAGATCCTGCAGCCTCAGAGGACACTAGCTGATGTTAGTTTGCCACAGCTCTCCTTATCCTCTGTATCAGGGCACTGTGAGCAAGCTGCTGAGACACCTAGATTTGGCCTTCCTTCTGTACCCACTCACTGACACACCAAATATCTTGGTTGATCGACTGATTCCATCTGACCTACTAATTTCTGTGTTTTGGGATGGGGCAGCATTGTATCTACAAAGGGGTGAGAAGTTGGAGGGAAGCCCCATGGAAGGGGATCTGGGAGTTCTGGTTGGCAGAAAATCCTGTGTGAGCTACCTGTGTGGCCTAGCAGCCAAAAGGGTCAGCTGTGCACTGGGGTGCACAAGACACAGCAGTGCCACCAGGGATTGTCCCACTCTCTTACCCTGCACCATCATGGAGGCGGCTGTTCTGCAAACTGCAGGTAACCAAAACATCAGCCCAATTCCCCTTCGCTCAGTGCAGCCCAGGCAAGCCAAAAGTTGGATAGTCAGAGTCCAGAGGGCAAGAAATGTGAGGAGTGGCTGAGGTGTCTGCATTTGTTCAGTCCAGAGCAGAGCAGGCTGATGGGAGGTCTCGCGAGCTCTACTGAGGGAGCAGCATGGAGCTGCATTAGGAGAGGGTGAGATGGGGGTTAGGGAAATGTTCTGCACCAGAGGGCAGTCAGTCAGGCTGCCAGAGTTCAGTGCTCCCAGACATAAGGTTTGAAGTTAAGATGCTACTGTGTGGAGCCAGGAGCTGTATTCAGTGTTCTTAGCCAATCCCTTCTAGCTTGGCATATCCTCAGATTCTATGAATTTTCTAGAAATTGGTATCTGGGACTTCTGGAGAAGAAAGTGCGAATATAAGCTTCTCTTGGATGTTGATGTTACAGATGCCCAGTTATATATTGTAGCAGGGGATGAGAAAAGAGTTTCCAGGCACATTTTTATGCTATACAGTCAGTTGTGTGCTGCCTAACTTGCAACTTTCATTCCTGGTGAAGGCTTTTCCATGTCCTTTCCAAACCACTGCAAACTTCTCTTCTCTTAACCCAGCCTCCTCTCTATAAAATGAGAATTCTCAGTTGGAAACAAACTTGAGTAACTCTCATAAACAGAGCCTGTGTGAGTGCGTTTTGCAAAGAGTACACTTTGTGAGTCAGAGCTGCAAAAGCAAGGAGTTTACAGGAAGATCAAGTATGGGCATAGATGTTGGTTGCTTAATAGAGGATGTCACTGTCAGAGATTCTCCACTTTAAAGTGCAGTTATCATCCGGAAAGTGTAAAAGTGACATCCTGGTATGCCACATTTATTCCTCCTCCGCAATTTCTATCCCAAATTCACTCAAGTCAATACCATGTTTTTCCTCTGACTGCCAGCACAGCCAGCTCAGCCTGTAACCTGAGAATCAAGCTGTGTTCTTTCTGCTTATTAAAACACTGCCAACTGCAAAGCTTCTGGAATCAAACATTAACTGGCAATGCTGTGGGAGAGGCAGGAGAGCTGAGTACAACATGACTAGCACATCCCTAGCTACAGGAAGGAGAGAAAGAAAAAAAAAAAAAATGAAAACAAAAATTAAATTCAGCACATATGCCTCAGGAGACCCACAGAAAACGTATTTACAGCACCTATAGTGCTATTTTTTATGCAGTTGCTTTTCTGTCTATCAATGCATTTCATGATGGAATGGTTAAATAGGGAACCACATAGTTCCTTACTCAAGACCTAGGTGTGTCGGATTTCCAAAGGATTCATATAAAGGAAGCATGTTAAAAAAAGTAGAGCCAGTATTTACTTACTATTGACTTACTTAAATTACAGCACCTTTTGCAGCTTGCAAATGCAGCCAAGGTGTACTTAGTCTTTGCTTTGTATTTGTTTAGTTGTTGAGATAGCTCAAACAATATCTTCATGGAGGCATTGAGATCCCTAGGTAAAAAGAGGAATCAAAGAGTAGATGAATGAAAATTAGAAATAGTTCAAAATTTGTGCTGGATTCAGAAGAACGTCAAAAAGTCCGCATGTTTATCTGGAGTTTTTCTGAAGTGTATGAATTCCTAGTGTTTCAAAATGAAGGCAAGAGCTCTCGTGAGGTGTTTCTGATGCCTGTGCTGTTTGTCCCACCTGGAGAAACTGCAGACCTGAGTGCTCACTGCTTAGCAGCCCACAGATCTATTTATCCCTGCAAATATTAAAAACAAATCAAAATGCTGGAGGATTATATGTGCAAAATGGGCAAAGAATTGCAGCATTTCTGTAGTGCTTCTTCATGCGCAAACACAGACATGGATGATGAACTGTTTTGCTGCTGTTCAGCTTGGTTCTCATCCCAGCTTTGCAGTCTAGAAAACACCTGCTTTCCTTGAGATCAATATGGCTACTGATGCCAGCAGATGAGCTCTTTAGATGGATTTCTTGGCTCAGATACGAAATATGTAGGACAAGTGAGCCTCGTGGGACTAATTTCTCTCGGGTGAAGACTGCATAGATAAAAGGCCTGCTACCTGGAAAACAATAATCTGATAACTGAGTCTACCATTTTGGTGGTCTCCAGAGGAAGAGAGTTTGCACACATAGAATTCTGACCCTGACTGTGCTCATTGTAAGACCACTAGCTGTCAACTCTGTAGGCATGGCATCACGCAAACTGACTGTATCAGTCAGTTACTGCAGTGGTGGCCTTGAAGCCAAACTCAAAAGAAGGTTTTCAGAGTTTAAACCAACTGTTGTATGTTAGCTGATTAGAATTAAATCTCCATGTGCTAAGTTACAGAATGGCAGAATGTCTGAGGTTGGAAAGGACATCTGAGATCAAATGTCACAGCTTCATGCCCAAGAGGGACACCTGAGCAGGCTGCTGTGTGCAGGCAGCTTTTGAAGATCTCCAAGAAGGAGACGCCACAGCCTGTCTGGGCAACCTGTGCTAGTGCTGAGCTACCTGCACAGAATGGGGTTGCTTTCACTGTTTACACAGAAACTGCTGTACTTCAGTTTGAGCCCACTCAAGGCTCATTCTGTCCTTTAAAGAAATTGAATGTGATAGCCTGCAGTGAACAAAACAGATAGGAGGTAATTCCTGTATTGCTGTCTGTTGTCCAACTGAAGTGTATAACACTGGAAATCACCAGCAAAATCTTTGTTCGTTGCATAGAGAGAAAGATATGTCAGTTCACACTGAAATATGCTCAGAACTGTCTGGGGTGCAGACTTTGGCATTGGAAAAGACTTTAATTCCCTAGGTGTTAAATAAAACAGCCAGTCCAGTTGATAAGAATCTGTTTTTCTTTTTCCACAAAAAGTTTGTGTGTTATTTGTCCAAAAAAAAAAAAGAAAAAAAAAATTGCAGTAGCAAGTACCACAGAAATATATAAAACAAAACATGGAGTAAGACCTCCTTCTATAAAAAGGCTGGAATGTATTATGAGCTACTATTCTTAAAGAGAAACTGCAGGTACCTAATTTACTGTAAATATTTACAGCTTCATTTATGGATTTGTCAATTAATATACTTACAATTAAATTAATGCTAAAGAATTACTTCTTCACAACAAGAGAGTGGAAGATAAAATCAGTGTAGAAGAGATGAAGTGCTAAGCGATAGAGATGTTATATAAAGAGCACAGTAGTTAAGGGACAGTACACCAAGGCCAGGTACTGTGAAGACTATGACATAGTGGATAGAACACAAGAAGAGAATATGACATAGCAGCACCTAGCAACAGTGGTGAGAAAGGGTGGAGAAGACATGACAGTAAGCACAGTACCCAGTGTCAATTACACTGATTAAGTAGCTGTAGCTCCAAACTACCATGGAGTTTGGAGGAGAGGTCGCCAGGATGAGTGTCTGGAATGCATCAGCAGCCGGGGCTGTCATGCAAGTGAGCAGGTGAGCAAGGCGTGAGAGGAGAGGGCAGGGAGGAGAAGAACAGTACTGGCCAGAGTTGATAGCTCACGGTTGCTCCTCCTTTCTTGCACTGTGTGTCTGCTGTCCCCTGTTATTTTTCCGTGAGTCGCCCTGTCCCCGTCATGCACTTGTCATCCCTGGAGTGTGTGGAGGCAATGGTGACCTGACCCTGCTGTCCTGCAAAGATAAGTTATCCCACGCCATACCTCAGCCGGGCTTTTCGTTGGGCTGAAATCCCCGTCCTTGC